GGCGAACCGGCAGTCGGCGAGAGAGCACCATGGCGAGCGGCTGGGCCTCGGGCGGCGCGGGCAGGCGGGCGCTGCACTCGGCGCGCGCGGAGGACGTGGCCTCGGCGTCCAGCTTCCGGGACTTCGAGGTCCTGCACCTGCACCTGGACCTGCGGGCCGAGTTCGCGAGCCGCACGCTGAGCGGCTCGGCGGTGCTCGACCTGCGCTGCCTGGTGCCCGCGGGCGCGGCCGAGCTCCGGCTTGGACTCGCACCCGAGCCTGGAGGTGACCGCGGCGGCGCTGCGGCGGGGGCCGCCGGGACCCGGAGCCTCTCCCGGCCCCGAGGAGCCCGTGGGCTTCCACACGCGGCCCTTCGCGCGCTACGGCTGCGCGCTGTGCCTGCGCCTCCCGCAGCCCCTGCCGGCGGGCGAGCGCTTCCAGGTGCTGCTCACCTACCGCGTGGGCGACGCGGGGCCCGGGGTGAGTGCGCAGGTGTCGCCCGGGTGCCCCCCCGCAGAGGGGAGAGGAGGGGAGGCCCGCCGCCCAGCCCCCGAGGCCCGAGGTCCGGAGCCGCCTCTTTCCTCCAGGCAGGCCGCCCTGGTTCCTTCCCGCGGCGCCTGCCCCAGACTGTCCCTCCCCGGACCCGCGCGTCTAGTTCCGTTTCTGCCAGAGGAAGGAGCCTTGCCCTGTGCGGCTCCTGCTCAGAACACGGGCTCTTCACAAACGGAACTGCATGTCCCAGGGCGTGGGGGCCCCGAGTCCCCGGCCAAGGGCCACGGGGCTTCTGCTTTTAGGGGGGCGGGTGGCCCAGCCCGATGCTGACTCAGGGCCACAGGCAGGTCACGACAGGCGTTGACTTCTGGGAGTCCTGGTTCGATGATCAAAGTCCGAACTGGACTTAGAGTGGGTAGTAAGGTGGCCTCCTCACTGTGGATGGGCTCCGAGATCTTAAAGGGGGGGGCGGGCGGGCAAGTATTGGGAGTAGGAGGAGGGGAGCCATGTGGCCGAGCACTGGTAGAGCAGGAAAACCCGGTAGAGCAGCGGTTCTCAACCTCCCGGCCCTTTCAATACAGTTCCTCATGCTGTGACCCAACCATAACATTATTTCCGTTGTTACTTCATCACTGTCATGTTGCTACTGTGATGAATCGTCATGTAAATATCTGATCTGCAGGATGGTCTTAGGCGACCCCTGTGAAAGGGCCGTTCGACCGCCAAAGGGGTCGCGACCCAAAGGTTGAGAACCGCTGCGGTGGAGGATTCTCCCCGAGATGAGGTGGGTTAGGAGTTCCCCAGGAGGCTGCCTGCCTGGGGCCGAGTGGTTCATCCGCGTGGCCCTTCGCCTTTGGCCCTGAGGACAGTTCTGTTTCCCTCTCCCGCCGCTCGGGGGAAGAAATGAGCCTGACGATAGGACGCGTGGCCCCTGAAATGAAATATCAGAGCGAAATCGCTGTCGTGTAAGACGCGATGGCGGACGGCCACGATCTGCAGTGTCCTTCGCACCAGGAAGGCCTCCGTAGGTGGCACCTGTAGTTACTGCTCCTGACAGCCCGTCCCAGCCAGGGCCCCCACCTTCATCACAGAGGTTGTGCCTCTCCTGGACTTCGGACTCTTTCTATGGTGTGTGTGCTGCCTGCTCCTTCATTCTCTCCTTCGTGTTATTAAAAAACAAGCCCTAGCTGGTGCTGCTCAGTGGGTAGAGCGCCGGCCTGCGGACCAAAGGGTCCCGGGTTCGATTCCGATCAAGGGCACGGACCTCGGTTGCAGGATCCTCCCCGGCCCGGGCCCTGGTCGGGGGGCATGCAGGAGGCAACCCGTCGATGTGTCTCTTTCACATCCGTGTTTCTGTCTCTCCCTCTCCTTTCCACTTTAAAAAATCAATGGATAAAAATATCCTCGGGTGAGGATCAAAACACAACAACAAAGAAACAAAGATGATGAGTAAGGACTTACGGCCAATACTTTTTTTAAAATTATATTTTATTGATTTTTTTACAGAGAGGAAGGGAGAGGGACAGAGAGTTAGAAACATCGATCAGCTGTCTCCTGCACATCTCCCTACTGGGAATGTGCCCGCAACCCAGGTACATGCCCTTGGCCGGAATCGAACCCAGGACCCTTCAGTCCGCAAGCCGACGCTCTATGCACTGAGCCAAGCTGGTTAGGGCACCAATACTTGTTATGATGTGCCAGTGACGAGTCTGTGCTGGAGGGAAGTTCAGTGAGTTGCCTGGTCCCCACCGAGTACTCAGTGTTAGCACTTATGGTCAACGCCTTCATTTTTTTCATTAATAGCATTTATTTTTAAAAACAGTTTAGATTAACAGAAAAACTGGGCAGACGGTAGTTTCCACATACTCCCCCCCCTCCGCCCCCCCCCCTCACTCCACACACACACACACAAAAAAGGTCCACCCGGGAGCCTTTTTCTTTTTTTAAAAAAACCCGGGAGCCTTTTAAACTGAGATACATTTGTTGCGAGCTCCGTGTGGATACATTGCATTAGCTCCATGCGGATACATTGTATTCTCTCTGTGCTGATACATTGTATTCGCTGAGGCTGCAGTTTGGTCCGGCTTCCTGATTCGTTACTTAGTGTCCCGCGTATTGAGCTGCCCTCTCTCCTTAAGCTGCCCTTGCCTGTGAGCATTTCCCAGACTTGCCTGGTTTTGGTGACCTTGACAGTGTTGTGGGGTACTGGTCAGGTGTATGGTAGGCTGCCCCTCTGCTGGGATTTGCCTGATGTTTTTCTCATCACTAGACTGGGGTTGTGGGATTTTGTTTTTTTTAAAAAACAGACTTTATTTTTTTACAGCCGTCGTAGGTTTACGGCAAAATCAAGTGGGATTTCACCAGGTCTAAAGGGCCGCGGTGTCCCATCATATTGAGGGTGCGTGGTGTCGGCGTGAATGTGGCTGTTGGGTGCTGACCCGGTCACCGGGCCGAAGCAGGGCTGCTGGGCTCTCGTTAAAATTCACACACACACACACACACACACACACACACACACAAAACAAACACCCAGCGTGCCCGTGGGGTGTTCCTGTGCCTCGTTAACGTAGGTCCCCAGGGCCTCTGCTCAGAGCCCCCTTTGCACCTGCCCAGGTAGGCGCCCACCTCGGCCAGAGCCCACCTCCAGGTCACAGAGCCCCCATCCGCCCACGCCTTCCAGCACGGTGCACCCCCAGCACCCCCTTCCTTCCCCTCCACCCTCCAAATCCTCCTGGCGCCAGAGGCCCATCCACAAAGTTTCGCTTTCTCTTGACACTTCCTGGAACTCTGTCCTTTTCTGAACTCTCCGTGGCCTTGGGTGCCCGCGTGCCCGCCGCCCCGCACTACCCCGCCCCGTGGCTCTGGCTGAGATTCACGGGGACTTCCTTCTTGCTGCAGGTGAGGGTTTCCGGTGATCGTTTTTCTTTCTTTTTTTTTTTTTTAAGGATACTTTAAAAATCTATATATACTTTGATTGATTTCAGAGAGGAAGGGAGAAGGAGAGAGAGGGATAGAAACATCCATGATGAGAGAGAATCATGGATCGGCTGCCTCCTGCACGCCCCCTCCTGGAGATTGAGCCTGCAACCCGGGCCTGTGCCCTTGACGGGAATCAAACCCAGGTCCCTTTGGTCCGCAGGCTGGCGCTCTATCCACTGAGCCACACCGGCCATGGCGGGGGTGTTTTTTTTGGTGAGAAGGACGCGGGAGGAAGACAGGGTGACAGGGTCCGAGACCCGGTCTGGGATTCGAGGGGACCCATGGGGCCCTGTGAAGGGGATGCTGCGCCTTGGCCTGGGCGCCAGGGTGGGTGGGACTGGCAGGAGGAGAGATCGTCCCAGTCAGAGCCCTGTCTCTGGGTGGCACCGACAGTGGGGATGCCCTGGGACCGCTCCCGCCCCGCCCTCCTCCCTGGCGGGGCTGAGCTCGTGGTGGGGGGGGCGGCCAGCTCTGAAATGCCTGTCCCTCAGGTGTGCTGGTTGGCCCCCGAGCAGACGGCGGGAAAGGAGAAGCCCTTTGTGTACACCCAGGGGCAGGCCGTCCTGAACCGGGCCTTCTTCCCCTGCTTCGACACGCCGGCGGTCAAGTGCACGTACTCCGCCCTCATCCAGGTAAGGGGCGGCCCAGGACCTGTATGACGTCCGTCCAGGAAAGATTCCCTCCGCCTTCAGAAACCTCATTTGCCTCTGCTCAGTCCCCTCGGTTTAAATCTATTGGTATTGATTTCAGAGAGGGAGAGAGAGAGAGAGAGACATCCATGATGAGAGAGGACCATGGATCGGCTGCCTCCTGCACGCCCCCCACTGGGGATGGAGCCCGCAGCCCGGGCCTGTGCCCTGACCGGGAATCGAACCCTGACCTCCTGGGTCATAGGTCGACGCTCAACCACTGAGCCACGCCGGCCGGGCTAAATCCCCTCAGTTTAGCACAAGCTGGGGGCCGGGAGGACTCTGTGGTCCCCGTGCCCGTGGCTGGTCCTGCTGCTCGCCAGGCCCGGCAGCGAAGGCCCCTCCCCCTCCCCTCAGGTCCCTGACGGCTTCACCGCGGTGATGAGTGCCGACACCTGGGAGCGGCGAGGGCCCCACGGGTTCTTCTTCCACATGAGCCACCCCATCCCCTCCTACCTCGTCGCGCTGGCCATCGGAGACCTGGCCTCGGCGGAGGTGGGGCCCAGGTAGGAGCCACACCTCATCCCCCCCCCCCCCCTGCAGGTGGGGTTGGCTGGACCCCAGGCAAGGAGCCCTCTGGGCCCTGGAGCTGCCAGGTGGGTGCAGCTGGGGCACCCGAGCCCTCTGTCCGCAGTGTCCGTGCGGCCGGAGTGACCTGGAGGCCCTGCTCTGCCTCCTCCTGTCTCCCTCCGTCCATTTCCAACTCTGTGGCCGCCATGGGGTCACCACCGGCCCCACCGTTGCAGCTGCAGACCTGGGTCACCTGGGGGTGCGGTTGGGGCGCAGGCAGCAGGACTGAAGGTTGACCTTTTTTAGAAAATATATTTCTGTTGATTTCAGAGAGGAAGGGGGAGGGAGGGAGGGAAGGAGGGAGGGAGAGAAACATCCGTGATTGAGAGCGAATCATGGATCGGCTGCCTCCTGCACGCCCCCTATTGGGGATCGAGCCCGCAACCCGGGCCTGTGCCCTGACCGGGAAGCGAACCCTGACCTCCTGGGTCATAGGTCGACTCTTAACCACTGAGCCACACCGGCCGGGCTAACGATTGATCTTTACCGGCCCCTGATAAGCTCCCGTCCCTCAGACCTTTAAAGCAAAAGGCAAACCCACTCCGGAGCTGAGGCCCGTGTCCTGGGCGCAGCCTCGCCTGCCCGCCCACTGCGCGGCTTCTCACAGGCGCTGACTCGCCCCACGGTCCCTCGTCCGTCCCTCCAGTGGGCCCGGCCGCAGGCTCCTGGCCGCACTGCCCCTTGCCTTTGGCTCAGACGTGAGGCTGAGGCGGGTTCTCTCTGGGGGCTTTCGGGACGGGCCCTGCAGGTCTGGGAACAGCCCGGGTGCCTCTCTGCTCGCCCGTCCCTAGGAGCCGGGTGTGGGCCGAGCCCTGCCTGGTTGAGGCTGCCAGGCAGGAGTATGACGGCGTGATCGAGGAGTTCCTGGCCGCGGGAGAGAAACTCTTCGGACCCTACGTTTGGGGCAGGTGAGGTTCCTGTCGACTGACATGTCCCTGGCTCCCCAGCCCCCTCTGCCTCCTGGAGGAAAGCGCCCCGTCCCAGAGGTGGGGTGGGGGTG